AATTATAATCTGATCTAAAACGGAAACAATCGAATTTTGCATGTAATTGCTCTACTTGTTTAGATCAAATGTGCGCTGAAAGAAATTCAGCAGCTTCGGAAGCCAGACTCATAAGTTTGACGTACTTTTTGAAAGTTCTTTTCGGGATCAAGAAGCAATACTACATTTTTACCTAAAATCTGTTGTACTATCCTAGGAAAATTACAAATCCCTTTTTTTGTCTGGTCAAGTAGTGGATCTCAGAGGTCGTGACATCGAAAATTTATGCTTTATCATTTGATTCACTTGGAGTTTTCAAGAAAGTTAAGACATCAATCTGGAAGAATATGCTTAATGAAAAAGCAAAGAATTCCTTCGATGCTGATAGTTTTCAAAGAATAAATTCTAACAAGAATTCTTTAAAGTAATTTGTCAAAGTTTTGGTCTTCCAATATTTACTTTCCTATATGAAAAGAAAAGACAACCAGTTGTTAAATTGTTGCTTTTCTGAATTACTCTACCTTTTTTGGGTGCAGTCTATTGCAAAAACGATTGAGCGAACCTGTACAGACTGCTTTCGAGATATGTTTGTTTAACCTGTTAGAGCAGCATAAAACTCTAACAATATGAAGATAACTAGAAAAAGAATGTAAAAAAGAAATAAAGAAATGAAGCAATTAGAGTTGCTGATATGAAACTAATTGTTTTATTCAACTTATTGTACATAAGAATGATAGGATTGACTTCTAACAATGTGAAAGATTCAAACGTTTCATTTCATTTTCTTTCTGCAAGGAAAATAAAGGAAAATGAGTAGACATCATCTGTATTTAGATTAGATAGAATATCTTTTCGAACTCTATCTAACTATATGTACCTGGATAGCAAACAATTCAAGAATTAGTAATGTGCATCATCATGACTAATTAGAATGAGCATTTCGTTCCGTCATATTGTCACATGGATTATTCTTGCAATCAAATATCATTTATTTGATATCGCAGAAAGCGTAAATTATGTTTCTTTGTGGCTACACTTCATTTTTGAAGTATTATCTACTGTAACCAGTCGAGATTTTATCACAACATGGATTCAAATGGCATAAGCAATGGTCTATTGATCGCTCCATATCAACTGAACATATATTTGGCACTTTTCATTTATATCACTGGTGTCATTGGTAGTATCGGCAATATAATCGTATATAACTCCAAATCAATGCGTAGTCGAGCTTGCTCTGTATATTTATTATGGGAATCTATCGTTGATCTGCTCTATCTTAATTCTGTACTCTTAACACGTATATTAATGAAAGGTTTTCGAATTTCAATCACATCACGTTACGATATTTTATGCAGACTTCGCCAGTTTGCTTCAAACTATGGCAATCAACTTGCATTCACTTTCTTAGCATTGGCAACAATTGATCGAATTCTATTATCCCAGCGATCACCTAGTAAGTTCCAGAATAGTTAGTTTCCTTCAGATTTGATCATTTTATTTTCTTCATATGGATATAATGCACTTCAAAAGCATTGCAGGATTCGACGAGTTAGCTTGAGTTTGATCCTTCCGCTCATTTCGTTCATTTTTCTGTGAAGAAAGAGTATTTTTATGCTCTTGATATTTCGCCGAAAATATACAGCTAGAATTTTTTTTTCTTATTCATCGTGTTCTTGTTATGTACTCACCTTCTGATCTAAATATCGCCATTGAGCCAACAGTGTCACTCTATCTGAACTGTTTTTCTATACCAGTAAAAATGATGTGAAACATCACTTGTTTTTATAGGAAACTTTCACAAGCTCTGCAAGAGAACATCTCGATGAAAAGAACATTTTATGTACTCATTATATCTGAAAAATGTTAACTTTTCTAAACTTTAGAAGAAGAAATATATATTTGCTGAAGAACAGAAGAAAACTAAGTTTTCAAATTTATCTCGTAAATTGTGTCGTGAAGTAATACAAAAATCAGGCATTTTCTCTTACTCTCGATAGTGGAGACTGGCTGCGACATAACAAAATTCTTTGAGCAGATTGACCTGTTCTATTTTGATGCAAGCTGGAAGACGACTACTGTGATATTGAAGAAATGGAAACTGAGTCATTATGTAATCATCTATTGAATATGAAATGAATAGTAAATGTTAAAGAGAATGAGTTGTATGTCGTTGAATCAATTCAAATCGATTCAATTAGAATACAATGTTAGACAGTTGTTGAAACCATTGACCGAAAGGTATATGCTTTTCTGTTAGACAGAAAAATCCATGTAAGGCATATATTTTTATCGTTAAAGTATTCTACAATTGGTTCAACGTACGCTAATAGAGTGTAGCATATGTGGAGATGCTGAGATCATTGACGGATCGCTCTTAGAAAATTCTGAAAAGTGATTTGCTTAATTCTGACTCTTTATTGATTGAATTCCCTTTGGAAAATAATGCTATTAATTCTTCACAATTTACGTTATTTGCTACTCGATGTCACTCTACTTTAAAAAAATATGTCATGGCTCTGAATCCACCAATGTCGATTCGTACTGACCAATGCATATCTATGACATACAGATTTTAATAAACATATATATATATCGAGAAAATCGGATTCAACCGATCAAATCTGCTTCACAGATGATCATATATATCTGCATGTATTGTTTTCGAGAAGAAATTTTCCATTTCTGTGGCTTTGTCAATACCAAATAAACGAAAAACAAAGGGTTCTTGTTGACAATCGGAACAACACCATAAGACTATATTGCATTTTTATCAGTGTCACGCCGAAATACATTCCTTTCATCGTATCCATTTCATTCGTAGAAATATTTGAGCAACAAGTTTAACTCGTCAGAATTTCGTATGGTGCTGTAGATGATACATAGAGATCTATCTTTTTATTTTTTCTGCTAACAATAATCCAGCACCACATCGTACACCTCGCAAACTGCATACACAGTTGCTCTTTTGTATGGTGGATTGATCCAGGCTTCATGACAATAGTATCTCTATAACATTATGAAGGGATAGGGAGGTAATAAATGATAGCAAACATAACTAATTCTGATCAAGATAAATCTTGGAAGTTTTCTATAATTTCGATTAATGTACTTTTTTTCTTTGAACAGGCAGGAAATATAAAGATAGAAAGTTTGCTTAAATTGATATCAGATATAATACCTTGTATCCTTTTCATTGTAGCGTATCGACGATGGAGTAATCGTATTTCTCTAGCCAAAAAGCTAGTAGCAGCATTTTTTCTGATTTGGATTGTGATTCTCTGCCATCGGCTTATTTGGTACAGAACATTTAATGGAGGATGTGGACCTCAGCAGGGTCTCTATGGGTACTTTGATAACTTATTTGATGCAATCGTGACCTGTCTTCTACCTATGGTCATTCTAACTGTACTCGGTGTTCTCATTGGACGAAGCATTCGTCATGTCGTTCAACGACAGGTAGTGCCTGCACCTAATATCAATGAGTCGACCCATACCAATCCATCGGTCATTAATAAAATCGATTCACAACTGACAGTCATGCTTTTCATGGAGATTTTTGTAGCAATGATCTCTTTTTTACCGTATGCAGCACACTTATTATACATTAATATAACTGATACCTGGCCAAAATCACCTTTACGAGTTGCTTGGGAAACGGTTATAATAGAAATTATTCGTATTCTATCATATTTTTTCTTTAGCTGCCCATTTTACGTTTCGATTCTTTCATTTAGTGGCTTTCGCCATCAACTTCTACGTTCAATCGGACTTATGAAATCACCAACCAACATACTATCACATACGCAAGAGAATACGACTATGAGACTCACTCACATCAATATCAATGATCGCACTCACCCACATCCTGCTTTGTAATTGACATTGACAAATATATTATCAATAAAAATATTCACTGGAAAAAAAAAAGGTTTTACTAGTGGCAATATATAATTAAAAGAAGAGTCGTTTCTGAGTTTTAATGTAATCAATCATTTTTTTTGAAATCTTTGAAATGATACAATAAAACTTGAAAGATTACGAAGAATCTCAGTCGAGATTGTGGGTGTGGGCTTAACTGTGAATCTTCTATCCTCTCACACTCACTCTCATCCACAGTCACACCCAAACAACTTACAGTTAATAAAACATATTTTATTGTTGCTCACTCGAGATTGTCTGTTCTTATTATAACTAAACATGAAAAAATAAAGGTTAAAATTTAATGAAGTAAATGAATCAATGTATAGCTTACGTTGAATTCTGTTTCATGGATATTATCTTGAAATATTCATATTCGGATGCTGTTTAGTTAGATTTACGTCTGTTTGACATACAAAACAAAACGTCTTACTTATATATGATAAATATTTTTCTTTTTTTTTCCTAGTAATGTTAGCTATATATCGCTTAAGTGCATATGTTACTCATAAGCTAGAGATGTGCACCGCCCGCATCTTAATGACAACTATTACATATATTTAATGAGAAACTATTAGTTTTATTTCGTCATTTTGTTATGCATTTGTTAAATTTATTAATGAACTCTAAATCAATGTTGATTAGAAATTATTCTAATTCTTATCTCAAAACTAAGCGAATTTTAATGTGGCAACTATGATATTTAAAGTCATCTTCAACTTAAACTTGCACAAATTTAACTACAGAATAAGTTAAAATATTAGGTTGGAACATAAGTTCTGAGCGTTTTTTTCTTGTACAATAACAACTTTATTTTTAAACAAAGATATGAAACATCAATCAACAATATATATATATGTATGTTTTTTTTTCTTCTCTTTCTGTTATATGTATTTCTTGCGTTCTTTCATCTCGTTACTATACATTCGCTTTTATTCTCTCAAGGTCCAAAAAACATTGATATTGACCTTCACGATTGCTGTTCTTATTGCATAATAACATTTTTATTACGCATTCCGTAATACGTGATTCTATGGTCGTTATATATATACTTGCACACATATCATCTTCTGTTTTGTGATTATCTTGCTTCAAATTAAATGGATGAACAAGAAATTCATATTCGTCATTGTATGCTTTACGAGTTTGATCGAGGTTCAACAGCAGCTGAAGCAACAAGGAATATTCATGCAGTATATAGTGAGGAAGCGGTCGGCAGTTCCACTTGTCGTCGATGGTTTACCAAGTTCCGTTCGGAAGATACCAGCTTGACGGGTAAACCCGGTTTCGGACGACCTGTAGATTTTGATGATGAAGCGTTGCAAGCTTTGCTCGATGCTGATCCACGTCAAACAACACGCGAATTAGCCGAACAGCTCAACTGTTCCCACACGACAGTGGAGTGTCACCTTCGTGCTCTTGGCAAGGTGCATAAGTACGGATCTTGGGTTCCACACCAATTGTCCACAGACAACTTGGTTCAACGAACATCGATTTGTGCTTCACTGCTTTCCAGACAGAAGCATAAGCCATTTTTGGAACGAATTATCACTGGAGATGAAAAATGGGTATGTTATGTCAACGTCTGTCGTAGAAGGCAATGGCTTGATCCTGGCCAAAAACCATTCCCGGACGTAAAGTCAGACTCGTATTCAAAGAAAGTAATGTTATGTGTCTGGTGGGATATGAAAGGTGTCATCTATTTCGAATTTTTAAATAACCATGAAACGATTAACGCCAATATCTACTCTCAACAGTTACAGCGATGGAATGAAGTTCTACTTCAGAAGCGACCTGTTTTGGCGAATCAAAAAGACGTTATCCTCCTCCATGACAACAGTCGACCTCATGTAGCAAAGTTGACTCAGCGAAAAATCGAACAGTTGGGATGGGAAGTTCTTGCGCACCCGTCTTGGTCACCAGATCTTGCACCATCCGACTATCATCTGTTCCGATCCCTTCGTCACCATCTAGGCAACAAACACTACGAAGACTTCGACGAGATAAAAGGTGACCTCACTGCTTTTTTCGAATTACAATCGGCTAGTTTCTACAAACGTGAAATTGAACTATTGCCAACAAGATGGGCTAATGTTGTCGAAAACAATGGAGAATATATTGTTGATTGATGTTTCATATCTTTGTTTAAAAATAAAGTTGTTATTGAACAAGAAAAAAAAACGCTCAGAACTTATGTTCCAACATAATAGAAACGAGCAACCTATAAGTATATATATATATATGTCCGATTATATCTTACGTAAGTGAATGCTATTTTTTTGTGAGATGTGATGTTCTATCGGAATGAGAATGCTTACTTCATGTTCCATTATGCAGAAATAGATAACACTGAAATTAATGGCCAGTCGTCGACAGCCGTCTCTCATAGCACTTCGTTCTCACAGATGTCGACTGCTGTTTTAAGGATGTGTCACATAGATAAGATGATCGTATTCTATATAATCGTTCAATCATGTTCTTCCGAATGCTATTTCCTTCGTATGATCCAGTGGAAATGTTGTAGGTAGCCAAATATTGTATGTAGTTGTAAGAGAATTTTCATACCAAAACGGATGACTAATGTACTTCAAAAGGCATTTGCCGTACGTACTTGAAACCATAACTCAACTCTATTTGCACTGATAGTTGGGTGTGGATCTTCTCTCCACCTACACCAACACCCTATCCCCAAAAATATGTCTCAGTTAATACGAAAGACGAACCGAATCACATCGTTGGATAATTGTTTGACATGTCTAGTCAGTTAAATGATCTACTACTTTAATTGATTTGTTTTATACTTTCTAATTCAGCTACAAGAAATAAAAAAATGGGACCGAAAAAAAGGATGATTTCTTATTTTCTCAAATAGGACAATTCACCTTTGGCAAAGAAAAATTGAAAATAACAAGGTTGCACAAAATTCAACTTCTTGAATCAACAATCTTGTCTACTTCTGATCTCGAAACGAATGGAACAAGATATACTATTGAACTTCATATTTTCGAATAAATTCATATCCTATCAAACAAGTTATTAAAAATGATTCATGTAGTACTTTATCATCCGCTGGTGTATGTTCATGTCCTCATCATTCATCCATGATCAAACTCGACGATACTCACATTGGAATTATTCATCATTGTTTTCATCGACTACGGCGGCAGCAGTAGACATATATATGAAATAGATATATAATTATTCGAAGCAAAGAATTTCTTAAATCAAGCATGAACGATTATTCAAATGTTGGTATCCTTGATCTATCCGATGAGATTTTGCTTCTTATTTTGTCCAAACTAAAATATGTCTATGTATTATATTCGCTTATGGTTGTCAATGAAAGACTCGATAAAATAGTATGTGATACTGTTTTTACTTGATCTATCGATTTAGTAACAATATCACTAATTGGCGAAAGTAATTCATTAATTTCTCATCTAATATTGGATCCATTGTGTTTAGATATCTTGCCTGGAATTCATCAGAATGTATTCTTCGTGCTGATGATTATCCTAATCTACGCATACTCAATCTTATTAACCTCGAGTTAAAACAATCATTACACCATTTGAATGGAACATAAATTAGTTGTTTTTCTTTCTATAGTTTATTCTGTACATATTTAGACGATTCGCCTTTTGCTCATATTTTTAAGAAGCAAATTTCTCATCTTGTTGTCACCGTTATTGATGATACTGCCAGTATATCATTGGATGATTTGGCTATAGATGTATATGCATGTATATTTACCTTGTTCACAAATTTAACTCATTTGAAGTTTGGTATCTACAATTCAGAAATGTCTGTCTACTCGACGGTCGTCTCAGTCAAATGAATGCGTTGATTGTTACTATTCGATATTTTTTTGTCATTCGCCAATGAAAATTAACAATACAGTAGGGAATGAAAGTCATATCTTCTAATATTTTGTGTTCACTTTTTTTCCAGAAAATTTTACATAATCTCAAACGTTTTTCATTGATTTCACGTGCTGTAACAACTACATACGATATTGAAAATCGTGCCATTACTTCGTCGAATGTCACAACTAGAAAAGCTTACATTATCTCTCAATTTTTACAATCGAATGGCATTCATTGATGGCACTCATCTGAACAATGAAATTCTCAGTCAAATGTCACATCTGCACACATTCTTCTTTGCCATCGTTAGTCACAGTGGAATTACCAATGAAGATTAAAAGTCTATTGACGATATTCGATGTATATTTTTTCAACGCATTGCCTGTTATCGCGACTAGTTTCCAAGCGGAGAAGGACGATGTCACATCTATTCACTTCCATTCACCATGAAATATATGTAAAATATACCCAATAATTTTTCTACCGATATATTATTCATGAATGTGCGTATTTTGGTTATTGTTGACTACAGACGTCCATCCGAGCATAACTTCTTTTATCGAATCTGTCGTTCGTTTCCATTACTCAATAGTATGACCGTATTCAACACAATACAATAGAATGAGAAGAGGACATGGCAATCGTATGATCATGAACAAACATCTTCAATCATCAAATTTCCTCGTTTTTCTCGACTCGTTCTCGAGTATGCTCATATCGATTATGCTGAACAGGGTGTGAACTGTGGGTCTGAATGTGCGTAGGTGTGGTGCTTCTCCTCATCAATGCCCACACCCACACCTCACCCACACCCACCCACACCCTCGAGTGGGTTTCAGTCTCTAACTCTCAACACAGATAACTTAAAAAGAAAGAGATAACTGCAGCAAATATCATGATTTTTATTTCATACAGAAAAAAAAAGACTCAAGCTTTCGTATACAATTCATGTATACATCGTCAGGAGGGTGTGGGTGTGGGTGTGGGTGTGGGTGTGGGTGGGATGTGGGTATTGATCTAATAATGGCTACTCCGACACCCATACCCACACCCTCACCCACACCCACCATCACTCACACCCACACCCACACCCACCCACACCCCACCCACACCCTCACACCCACACCCTCGTGCGACGAATTGATCGGTCGCCTCAATTGCGCATCTTTTGGAGAAAAATATTCAATATTATATGATTGTTCTGTACTTAGATATAATAATTTTGGTCCACTTGGTACTTCTTCTATTTCTCAATATATGTAAAAGGTTCCAGAACTTTATCTTTCAGATGATCAATTTTGTATTTTTTTTCAAAAGAAGTTATCAATCATTGCTTGTACTGCAGTGATGTGGCTTCAGCGTTGACCCGTACTGTACATTTAGCCAACGAATAAAGCTTCTCGATCGGGAGAATATGTTTTGAGAAGAAAAACAATCACAGAAAAATCCCACATAAATACATCGAATTGTGGATAGACAAAATAAAAAAGAGATATCCATTGAGTGAAATCGATAATCGAGTTTGATTGTGAAATATCATTCAACGTCTAACGTATGCAAATTTCGAAGAATATTGTACTTGCTCATGACGTCTTGGTAGAGATGACGTTGCTCAGGATGCTAAATAAACTATCTTTCATTCTGATTAAATCTAAAGCATTTTTTCTCGTACCTATCGCCGATGGTAGTGACACTTTTTCTCCATGAGAATACTTGATTCGATGTTTATCGGTTTTATCACTGCAGCCTTGCTGATATCGACATGGAACAAGATAATCGGGCAAATCCGAATGACGGTGCTGAGCGCGATGAATCGGATTTCCGCGTTCGCGACATGTTTTATTATACTGGCATATGGGTACCAAATGTGGAATATGCTCAAGATGGGGATGATCAGGAATACTTCGACATAATTCCGAAAAGCGACAAGGATGAGAGTATTTTTCATTGTGCTCTTTGGAGTCTGAGTATTGTAATAGGCAGTTGACAGAATTGGGACATGGCTTTCGCGATGGCGGCTCACTGCCGAAGATCTTGCCTTTTACCTGATTCCAGAGTGATTTTGCTGGCGATTGTTCATTGTCTGGCATGGAATTCGGAGCAACGGCGGGATCATGTTTTGATTTTGATGGCACTGCTTTACTATCTTGTTTAAATTCTTTATCGAAAGATGGATGATATTCTGGAATAGGTTGATGTCTAATGACCAAGTTTCGCACTGGCACTATCCGAGCGCCTCCACTGATATGAATATAATCAAGTGTGTCTAAATTAAGTTCAGATTGCTGAAATATACAGGCAATTGTCTGATGATTATAAATGCTGTTTGATCCAGCATGTGCCAATATGACTTCTCTAGTTTTGAATTTGATAATAAGACAGTAAGTAATGTAGTCATCAGTGTTACAACCACGATGGAACGAATTCGACATAGCTTTCATACGTTGACGATCTTGCATGATCATATCGTGATGATATGGACGATAATTACTAATGTACGAATAGGATTCATGACCGGTAACGTCACTATGATTGAGAGAGATGTTGGCAATATAACATGTGAGACATTGCAGTCCCCTTTGTTCGACAGCGAGATCGATGAATTCATTGGATACAGTCAACATCATGTCACCACCCAGGGCTTTCCAGTAAATAAAGATGGTATCACTTTGACCGTGTTGCTCTTGATATTGACGGTACGATTGTGAGATGGTCATGGGTATGGCAACTTGCTGTTCAAACTTGCTAGCAGGCAACGTGATAAGGGTACCTTGAGGTGAATAGAAGCTACTGTCAGCAAACTTCTTCATGATTTCGTCGATCACGTATGCTTGATAAGGGACACGAGTCGGATCCAGTTGATTCAGAGCGTTAAGATCAACTTTGTGAGATGTAATGGTGAGATGACCACGGAAAATTCCTTTAGCTAGTTGTTGCGCAGATGGTGTCAACGAATAAAACACAGTTGTAGGCATGTAAATATGATCGATGTAGTCCAAAGGTATCAGTTGCGGTAAATGCATTTCGAACACTTGATGAGAGTCGATATTCAACCATCGCTGTTGAATTTCGTTGAGATCAACATTCATCGTCTTTTTCTTTTGGCCGGTCAATGCCATGAGTTCAATCGCAGCCGCCTCTTCGTAGCCTGACACAGAACAATGCAATTTATTCCAATTAAATTGCTGAATTCGAGCTTTATCTGAGCCCGGATCTTTCAGCCATGGTCTCATTTTATATGCATTGGTACTGGCACCAAATGTGGTTGCTGCTTGAATCGAAAAGTTAGTGTCCGGATGATAGATGAGCTCACGTTTGAAAACGATAAAAACATCACCGTAATAATGTCCCAAATGTGGACCCAAAATACTAAAAACATGTCTGTTAGTGCCCAGTGTCTCATCGGGTCCGTGTCCAATACCCATCGGATTCGAATGAAGCCGGAGAGAGGCTTGCGTAATTTCTGTGGCATGTGCTCGAATAGTTGCAATTTCATCTGCTTTGAGAAATAATTTTAATTGTGTTTCTTTCACATTAACAATATATATATGTTGATCATGCGTTGGCGAATGATGAACAACATTAGCCATATGTGGGGTGACAACACCATGAACTACTGGGAATAATGCGGACCTTTTGGGAACAACCTTGTCGAATTCGATAGCCACCAACGCTCGAATAAAATCCCGACCGTGGTTTTGCAAAGCTTGATTGTTGTGATGATCGAATATTTGTCGGACTTGATTATGCTGTTCGACAGCATTAGCCACAAATTGTGCTTCACGTAACAGATTCATATAATCTCGACTCATAACATGGCCATGAACGAGAATCGATTCGAAAATGACCTTGCTGCATCGATGAATAGGCTGTAATGCACGAATCCATTCAATGAGCTTTTGTGGGATGGCAATCTTCGATTCTTTCCATTTCTCAGCTTCGACATAGGCGCGAACCGTTTTTATCATTTTATATTGATTCCGTACAAAGTTGACATGTTTATTGAGACTAAAATAGCGCACCACACCGATATGTTTATAATTGCCAGCGTGACGGAAGCGTATCATGTGATCGTGATTCAATCGATCGTGGCATTCAGATCCGAGATATTTACATAAGTATCGAATATCAGGCAATTTGGGATGCGAAAATGAATTGAGATGTTCTTCATCGGTTAGTTTGGAGCATTTGTTTAGGTCAGGACACATCTTTCGTGCAATGTGAATCGAAGTGCAAGCATGTAGTTCCGTCGTATTGCTGCATTGTCGTCCGAATGGACACACGTGTGAGAATTTGATACAATGTTCTTCGATCTCTCGTCTCAACGTGGCATTAGGATCTCTCTTTGCCTGCAAGAACTCGCCATAATATCGACATGAGAAAGGCGTTAAAGGGCAAGGCTGATAGAAGGGATGTGATTGATCATTGAAGTGTTCCTGATCGTGAAAATTGACGCAATAGGCACCGAATGGGCAGTTGAGTTTGCAATGACGATAAGAACGGCAATGTTCCGTGTCACGTTTACGAAACAACAAACATTTGGTGGGACCATCTTTGCACATCGGTAAATGGCGATATTGAAACAAATGAGCTTTACTCATGTCCGTACAATCGCTATTTCGAGGACAAAACTCCGGATGGTCATATTGACGAATATGCTTTTCGTCTTTAGTAAGTGCACATTCGCCACCACGTTGACATCTGGTACGATGAATAAAGA